GGCATGCCCGCTTCTTAAAATCGACGAAAACGCGAAGTCACGGACGGACAGACGGACAGACAGACAGACAGACATGGCGAGCACAATAGTGCATTTTTCCATAAATGAGAAAATGCGCTAAAAAGGCAGGCTTGCGTTAAATTGTTGGAGATGATCGTTTTAAATGGTGTTGAATGGCGACATCCGCGGACAAAAAAGGCAAGAAATGCCTTTAATCCAATATTTACTAATTAATGTGCAGGTTTCAGGTCAAAATTAAATGTTATCATTTTTTCGTAATTTTTTTCAGTAAGGAAGTACCGCCATCATAAATTTTTTCCGACAATTGAAAAAACAATTGAAAAACACAACTGAAAAACACAACTGAAAAACACAATTGAAAAAACATAATTGAAAAAATTAAATCTTGGAATTTTCCCGAAAAAATACCATCTGGCAACACTGCTCAATACGCTCAACACGAGGCAATCTTCGGCCGGTCTGAAGGTATCGCCAGGGCTGCATCTGTAAGGCGACGATATTCTGTTTGGAGAAAAAATATCGAACTTCAAGGGCAGCGGGTTTTGTAATTGCATATGAACCATCAAAAGAGTAATCGCCGCTCTTGAAACAACGAATGCCACCCTCTCCTAGAGAAACCTAGGCCACCCAGTTAACTTCAGGTGCCATCTTTGTATACACTTCATTCTTAAGTTATCTTATGTAAGTCGTATGAGACCAGACAAGAATCTTATGCTAGGCTTGGATTAGAAATTTCATTTCGTGCATATAGCCATGCACTTAAATCTGAAGAAAGTTGAACAATGAACATTGAAGATAATGAAAACACATTGTGAACAAATAATGAAACGCTACACATTGAAAATAATGGTGCGTTAAAAAGTTCATAACGGGGCCTCCACGTACAACAGTTATCCGTGATTTTGAACACGCCTCTGCTACCATGTTTCTCGACGAAAATTGGTGAATCGCACCGGAAAATTTATAATTTTAGTTGAACTGCCATACAGATTTATGCATATAGAGCCGATCTTTATGTTTAGTCTGTAGTTTGCCACAATTTACTGACCACGACGTCCCATGGATTGATGTTGCGTAAAAAAACTTGTTCACCACATTTCGTTCTGTTTATAAGCGAGGCTCCCAGACAGCTCATGTGTGAACAATCAAAAACTGTTGTGTTGAAAGTTCTTTACTAATAACCTACTGTAGTCAGAAATGATGAAAGAGTTTTCTAATCTTTGGCATTACCGTATGAAACGCATCAAAAAAGTTTCTCGGGCTTCGTGGCGGGCAGCGGTTCCAAATGTTTCGAATCCAGAAAGAACAGGATAGCCAAATCTTTTCACTGGATAATTTACAAGTGGAATTCCAAATGAATTCTCATTTAATTAAGTAACATTGAAATCATTGGTCGAAATTGTTTAACCAAAATTTTGCCCATGACTTCTTCCAAACTACAGAACAAATTTCAATGAAACTTTGTATATAAATACCTAACCTCTCAACAGTGATGTTTCGCTTGTGGCAATTTTTTTATTTTGCTTTCGTTCGCGAGTTATACAGATATTGGAGGAACGACCTGCTTTTCTACCGGCCGGTTTAACCAAGAGCCGTATAAGGCCGTATAACTGGCAAACGAAGGCAAAACGAAAAAATTGTAACAAGCTAAACATCACCGTAACGAGCTAAACATCACAGTTGCTGAGGTTAGGTATTTAAATACTAATTTTCGTTCAAATCTGTTCAGCAGTTTGGAAAAAATTTCTTGATTATTGCGAATTTAAATAAACACGTATTGCTGTTTAAATCACGAATGAAGGCGAAAAAACTCGCGAACTAAGGCGCAATCGAAAAAAATTTCACGAGCTAAACGAGTTTGGAAGAAATTACTTGATCACTGTGATTTTCGGTCCGTATTGCCATACAACTATGACAAAAACAAACGATGGCAAAATTCAAGCAATTTTCACAAGCTAAACATTATTGTTAGATCCTAATGTAATGAATGCGTGTACTAAGTTTCATCAAGTTAAGTTCATTAGTTTGAGAGATATTCCTTGATCATTGAATTTGGCAATTGGCCGTGAGACCGGACGCGAGTCCGGCCGTTAATTTGTCCCAGACCGTCGAGACGTAAACCCAGGAGAGGCTAAAACAGATCTGTGTGACAAAACCATCGCTGGGAGTCATGTGCTGCACGTGTTGTGTACAAATCGTCAAACAAACTTTTTAACTTCTGACTTTGACTTCGGATTGTCGCCCCCCTATCGCCCCCCAACCGCCCTCTTCTTCCCTACCGCCCCCCAAAATCTTTTCATCGCCCCTAGGGGGGCGATATCGCCCACTCTGGGAACCACTGGTGTACACGATCGCACACTGCGTGTACACGTTTGTACCTGACCGACAGCGCCTACTAGCTGTGTACTTTTCATTTTTGTGTACAGCGCCTACTTGCTTGAAAAAATGTATAGTTTGAGTATAGAAACTCCGATGTTTGCAGAAAAATTATCCTCATTACGCTGAAGAGTACACAACATTATTTCTCTATGGCTGGCATTAATATTACAATTTATTTACTTATTTACTTACTTTACTGACGTGAGGTGGCAGCAGGCAAGCAGGCGGCTGCTGTCACAGAGGTTTGGTTCAGCGAGCCTCTCTATGCAACAGTTCGATCAACAATCTTTTACCAACTATCAAGCGAAATAAACTTCCAGCCATGAATGAGGGTTAAGGTTCGTCTCATAATTAAATATTACGATAAGAATATGATACTTAAGAATTATTATTAACGGAACGAGTCCCAAAACTCATATGAAGCTGTCATATTTAAAAGAACGTAATTACAATAAATAAGAATCACACTTCGATGAATTCACCTGACAATTTCTGGTAATTTGAGGAACGCTGAATTAAATGCCCCAGCTACACAATCAGCCTCCGAATTATTGATCACGAATTTTCTTCAATATTAAAGATTTTGACACTAAAACCAATCATAGAAGACTATGATTGGTTTGGTATATACTGTAAGCACATGCAGGGAGCGGCAACCAATCAACAATTATTGTTTGAGTAGGCAACCGTCGAGATCAGTTAAGGTGGGGATCAAAACAATCGTTCCCAGGTATTCGTTCATTAGCAACGCAGCGCTGAACATGAGAGGTATTGTGTGGTATTGTCCCAGCAGCTCTGAGGTAACCAACCAACTGTGCTGGTGTAACTTTTTTTAACCTGCGATGCCTGCTTAACCGGTTATGTCTGATTAAGTTGCTACATTCAGTTACCTTGCTAATATTGAATAACTTGCTAGTCTAAGACAGCAGTTCAAGCCAGTATTTTTGCTAGCCACAATTTTCCAGCCATGATGGAATACCTGCTACGTTGGTTTTAACCTGACGAGTAACTAAAAATGCTCCATTTGACCATGACGGGAAATTTTTTACCTGTGTCTTGATTAGTCAACACGACCACTACGCAATTAAAAAAAACTACTAAATATAAAGTTAGCACAATAAAAAAGCTCTAATTTACTGGAAATAAATCGTGAAACCTGAATTTTTCTCCCTTGACGTATCTGTAGAACTTATATCCTCTAATTTTAATCGTTAAAATATCGATTTCGCTCTTCTTACGTAAAAGTTGATCATTTAGTGATTGACGTGATGTCTGGTGTCACGTCAATTATTGGTATAGATGGGCAGGAGTTAAATTGTACGTTTCAGTATACACGTAAACCAGAAAGTATTTATTTTTAACATTTTCCTTTTGTATTGATAAATACGGTGAATTAAGCTTTTGGTATTATTTGAAGATTAGAATATTTGATTTCCAAGGCTCATTTTATTATATTTTTACTTTTTTAAACATGCATTATTCAATAAAGAAAAGCGAAAACATTTTTGAACGCTTTATATTGAGATTAAGAAATGAAATAAATACAAACATTAGGTATAGTGCATACGCCTCGAAAATAAAAACACAGATTAAATTAAAACACGAAATTACTTCGACCATAATTTCAAAGTCCCTACAAATCCAGGGGTTAACAAACTGATAGCTAAAGATAAATTGATAAATAAAAAGCATCGCCAGACTTGGACAATCCGGGCACAGCATGACGATGCTGGTGCAGGCTTGCAGTGCTGCATGACGATGCTGGTGCAGGCTTGCAGTGCTGCGCGGGTGATGGTCTCGTTGTGAGCCTCCCTCACTGGACGTGGCAATCGAGACGACAGCTCAACGTGGTATTGGTCAAATTATTGCAGTGAATGTATTGAAGAAGTCTATAACCTTCTTTATTTCTGCATGCACGGATACATTATTCGGCGGCCGTGCATCGTTAGCCTATGGTTTGTGCAAGCTTCCTAGTTAATCTGCCTAGTGAGTTAATGACGTTATATACAGAAAAGCTTCATGGGAAGTGTAGAAGACTTGGTTAATTCTTATGCATTTGATTAGGAGTCGCGATATTGACCGAAGAATTATTCTCTAATCTCTTTAGTTAAGCATGAATTTGAGCTAGACGCTCTTTAAACTATATTATTTTTTCATGACCGAGATTCAAACCTAATATCTCTTCAATCTGGTTTCTTGCTGACGCTCATTAAACGTAGAAGCTTATTAACCTAACTTATTTCTTCTAACCAACCGCATGTTGAACAGAAATGATCAACCTAAATTATTTTTGTGTTGGGTATGATCGTTGATAGGAGAACTTGCAGCATCGTCAACGACCAGATGGGCGCTATCAAGTCACATTTCAAAAATATTCTATCATACTCTTTTAACTGAGTCAACTAAATAATTTTTGCTATCCAGGAAACACGGCACCGTATTAGTTGAATCACGTTCGGTTTCATTCAAAATTCTTTATTTACTAAATTTCCGTTGAATTCTTCAGGATTCACAATGAGGCACACCTTCTCATTTTGGAGAACGAATCAACACTGAATTAATTGAATATATATTAGTTATAATTCCAGTCTAACGCGGATATGACGGCTGGAGCTGACGAGCTGTTCACTCTGGACGTGGGAGTTGTCTTGCCGCTGTGGACCGTCGAGGGCCCTGGTGCGGGGACCGTCGAGGGCCCTGGTGCGGGGACCGTCGAGGGCCCGGGTGAGGGGACCGTGATGCGCTGCGCCGGGCAGTGCGCCGCCAGTGACATCAACAGGATGTTTAAGTAGTCTTTTATAATGTTATATTTTTATTTTAATGTGTTATACTAAACTATACTAATATAGTATAGTAGTTTCAACACTAAGAAATAGACCCATAGCCTGTTACCGATTCTTGCACTTATCGTGACAGGTTTATGAAGAGTGAAAAACGACGTATTGACCAGATATTTCTAAAAATAGCGTTGGATTAAAATAACTATTTGAATTTTATCATGTGCGTCGGATCTTATGGGCATCTCGATACTGAACATATACGAATTCATAACCTTGTCTTGTTTGTTCCTGAACGCGATTATGATCGGAGAGTAATTGCACCGCTGTCATCAGTGAGGCTGTTCTACATATCGAAGACTCGAATTACATGATATTATATTATATTATATATAGGCCCTCACTCCCAAGCATTACCTGAGGCCGCATGCCAATCTACAATCGCCTGAGTGCCGCAGCAGTGCAACGTTATTGCCAGAAAGACCATTTGGGCGCCGTTATTAGGGTCATTCGTCGGAATTTTTACAACGGACGTTTTAAATGAAGGATATATTCTACATTTCTGTCCGCCGACAGCCGCAGTGCCGCCTGGTGGTAGACGCGTCCATCACCGGCGCTGTGGAGGTCAGCACAACAGCGGCCTACCAGCGCCCGCTTCAGGGATAACTTGCACATTTATGGGAACGTGCGGAAATCCACTATCATCGGGTGAGTACACGACTATGGGTGCTGGATCTTACATACATTTCAGTGCCGTGGTTATCGTACCTAGTACGTGGCATGCACCTGTGTAAGAATGAATTTAGGACCCATTTATTGAGCGCCAAGCAACTCCTGGTTAGTTGCTATCCAACAAGTTACTCTATGCTGCTCCTGGGGGTCACTGAAATGAACTATAAGGAATGTTTAATAACCATTGTCATAAATCGGTGTATTCGGTATCTTAGCAACATTTTTAATATGTGAATAAAGAGCTTTATCAGTGGCAGTGGATACTTCAGCATACTTTAGATTTTATATTAAGTACAATTTAAATGAGAGTGAGATTATTCTATACTTAATTCTCATGCATTTCTGTTGTAGTTTCTCTTTGCTTCATTGAACTTGCTTCTGTGTCCACCGATACTAATCAGTTTCACTGCTACTGCTCGGAGTTGAAATGATGCCCAGGCATGAATGATTGATGGTAGAATAAGTGGGGACTGTTTCGAGGGGGTGTAAGAGTAGGGTACTGGGTTCGAATAAACGTTATGCAGATGGCAATGAGATGAGAGAGAATGAATGCTAATATGTGATGGAAGTGTGAAGAAAAGTGTGTGTGATGAACCTAAAGGTGGAATGTAAGGAGGAAGACGATGTAAGTGTGTATCAGAACGCTGGAGATGAGAGCATTAGTAGGGGGTGTGGGACGACAGGTGACAAGGAGGGACAGGTGACAAGGAGAGATAGGTGACAAGGAGGGAGAGGTGATAAGGAGGGACAGGTGACAAGTGCACTGATTGTGGGTCTGTTAGTGGGAGATACTGAGGCTGTGATTGGATGTGCAGTGAAAAGTTTTGGTAATTATATAGAGGCTAAGGGGAAGGAGTTATCATGATTGGTAAAGAAAACACGGATATAAAATAAATTCTTGCAATATCATACCCATAATTCAGTTTCTGTTTCAGGTTGTTTAGTAAATTTGTAAAGTTGAATGTATCGTAGTCTCTCAGGGTGTTGAGGTTATTAGTGTGAGCGATATCTGAAATGACAGTCCTATTATTAATCAAAACTTTTTTAGCCTCGTAGAAGGTGTTCTGACAGTACTTTTTTAATATAAGACATAAGACTATGTTTCCTGGACGACAAAACATAAGTTATTTTTCGCTTGCTATTAAACTAAAGTGTAACGTGCCCTAGAAGTTCGTTTGAACCAGACGCTACGATAACTGTTCGTAAAATACTAATAACAATAATAATAGTAAATTTCCATTTGAGTATGTCCTTGTTCAACCGCACTGTTAATTGGAAGGATCTCTTGAAGCTTCATCAAATTAAGTCGTGTGTTTTCAGAATTCACCGATAGATAAATAAAATTATATTATAAATAAATAAAGATGAATAAATATAGATAAAAAATATAGATAGATAAACAAAATTCAAAACAATAAGTCTTGTATCTAATTCATTCAGTCATCACTGTGATTTATTTTAAAATTTGCATCATCTTTTAATACAATTGAGATCGTGAATGGGTATTGATTGGCAGTTAAACTTTTACAAAGTTAGTCAAAATTAATTTATTATGCATTCAAAATGGCGTATACAATATTAGCAGAGCATCTTGACAGTTGCACGCATTTCGTCTGCCGAAATACGTAGTAATAATTAGTAATTATAATGATCACATTTCTTCATTTGTAACCTAAATGCATCCAATAAGTATTGCTTCGATGTTGTTAATAATATTGAAAAAGTTAAATGTAAAAATTCCATGAAGCAACCCAACCTCAATAAATAAATACTCAGCTAGGAAATTTCGCAGTCTAAGTTCATTGTAATATATCGGTCAGTTATATCCAAAGTGTATATTAAATTTCAAGATATTTACCGTACAACAATTATAGAGCAAGTTTCATGAAACCTTTCAGAATTTCTTTAGTTTTTCGCCCTCTTTTATCATCATACCTGCAAAAATTTCACGATGTCCTTCGCTGTCGAGTGAGCCCTCGTACCCTGTCAAAATTTTCGTGCCGATTAAGGTCGTTTTAGAGGAACTATATTCGGCTTAGGGGTGAATCAGGAGCACCCTGTCAAAATTTTCGTGCCGATTAAGGTCGTTTTAGAGGAACTATATTCGGCTTAGGGGTGAATCAGGAGCAAGTCGGCCACGTAGGGTGTTTTGCTTCTATTTACCAGCCTCTTTTGGAAGTCAATTGCCCGGTAGGCCAAATC